CTGCTTCTCCCTCTGCTTCTGCCTCTGCCTGTGTCTCTGCCTCTCTCTCTCTCTCTCTCTCTCTCTCATGAATAAATAAATAAAATCCTTAAAAAAATAAAATAAATTTATCCCATTATATGTACTTATAAACTATGGTAAGTGCTCCGAAGGAGGAAAGCATGTGAAAGCATGTGATCACGTAGCACCCTTGATTTAACACAGTGACTAGTAGAGTTGGGAAGGGCTTCTCTGACAAGTAACTTAAGGGAACAGAGGATTTTGAAAGGTGAGAAAAAAGGTGGAGGGCTAGATCTAAGAAGGGAAAAGGATTATGTGTGAGGCTGTAAACTGAGGAACAGGCAGTAGGTGGGTCCTCTTTCTGTACCTTCAGCTCAAGGGTCCAGAAGGTGCTCAGTACAGGTTAGTTTATGAACTAGAAAGGTTACAGGCAGGCCAGGTTGGGCACAGGCCTCCCTGGAGGGGCTGGCACTTATCAAAGATGTAGGGTTCCAGAATGGCCTCTCCCCAAATGCCAGAGCTTTAGGGAGTAGCTTGGGAAAGAAAAAACATCTTCTGTAGAGAAATCCCTGCTCTCAGAGGCAAGGCAGCTTTTTTAGATACTGAACCAAGATAATCAAGGATATTAGTACCTGGACATCTTACATTAAATACTTAGAAAATAAAGTCATAGTATTCTGTGCTACTGATGGTAGGAATATGAGGCAAATCTGAGTTTATAGTAATAAACACAGACTTTTTCAAGTCTCTTTAGATTCTCGATTTTCTTAATAGGAGTCTAAAACACCAGGATCACTGATTTCAAACAAGGGAAAACCTTATAAATATTGGGGAGTAACGTTGAGAAAGGTGGGTTCCTCAAAGCCTTCTAGACTTCAAAAAAAGCCTTCTAGACTGTAGAGCTGCACTTATACAGTAATCACTAGCTATATGTGGCTCTTTAATGAATTAAAATTGAATAAAATTTGAATTCAGTTTCTCAGGCACATGAACTATGTTTTAAGTGCTCAGCTACATGTGAGTAGTGGCTACTCTATAGACAGCACAGACATAGACCATTTCCACTGCGGAAAGTTCTGTTGGACTGTGCTACTCTATAAAGCATTTGAGTTTTGTCCTAGGGATAATACTTTATAGAGATGATGATGTTTCAGTGTTGCTTGAGGGGCCCTCCCTCCTCGCCCCGTCTAGGGGTAGATGAGAAGATGCTGAGATTCTTGCTGATGTGCTCACAGATGAAGTGTTAGGAGCTCACTGGGTGTTCTCCCTCTTCTGTCTACAGTGCTGGAGAGCTGGCTGGACTACACTGGGGAATTGGAGCCCCCGGAGCCACTGGCTAGGCTTCCGCAGCTCAAGCATTGCATCAAGCAGCTGCTGATGGACCTGGGCAAGGTGCAGCAGATTGCACTCTGCTGCTCAACATGAAACTGGGCACCCAGAACTAGTGGGGGCACTATCCTGGGGTACCTACAGGAGGAGCTTTGCATATTTAAATACATAAACCTAGCATGCCGAATGCACGTGACACCGACTGACTTCAGGGGTCTGGGCAGGGGGTATGATGGACATTGGACAGAGGGGCCATTTTGGCTGCTGGTGGGCAGGGCACTCTGATCTTGAAGCCTACCAAGAAGGTAGCAAATTGACTCTTGGGATTCCCTTCTTCTGTGCACATCGCTGAATGGAGAGTGAGTCGTTTTGCACAAACTTCACTTGAAATCGTGCCACCAATAAATGGAATGAGAGCCAAAAAAGTTTAGTCGGAAACAGTTGTAAATTCAACCTGCAGCTTATTTAATTGACATTTTTGTCAGGGTGGGGCATATGCCAAGCCTTCTTGTTTTTGCCTGGCATGGATTTAGGCAGCAGGCATCATTTTCATTTTTCCAGCTTCGTGAGAATGTCATGACTTCACATTCTGTGGAGGTTGGGAAGGAGCAGAGGCCTTGACTGCCCTGTCTTCTCCTTAGGACTCTTCACTTTTTCTCACCACCTGTCTTGCATGACTTCATGGTACCAGGGACAAGTTTTGTATGCTTTTACCCCCAGAGTTGGCTGGGTTATGTCTTTTGTAGCAGAGCCCGCACAGCCTGTGGAGGAACTAGAATCTCACTGTAATAAGAATCTAGGAATTCCAAACTGAAGCAGGCAGGGTCTGGAACCCAAAGGACAGCATTTTCTACCCACTTCTTAATATTGACAACTTCCTGGTTCTATTTAATGTCCAGAAAATGTTTCCCCAAATTTTGAACTCTTTCACTGTAAAGATTTGTTACAAAGAATGTGGTTTGGAGAATTACCTTATTTTATATTGTTGTAAACAAACAAGATTCTACATGTGCCGCTTTTCTCCTTCCCAGAAGGGTGTATGTTCAGTAGTTGGCATTTTCAGAATTGTTTTAATATACTTTAACACTTTAGATTTCCTGTTTGTATTATTTTGTGAGGTCAAGGTGATTATGCTGCTTAAGGTCCAGGTACAATTTGTACCTTTTAAGACGTTTGTTACTCTTGCAGGTTACGGTTCCATGTGTAATTGCTATATTGTTTTGTTTTTCCTTGCTAGACAAAGTTAAAGAAAATGCTCCATACTTGGAGGAGTGACCCCTTTCACCATTTAGTTTTATCACTAAAGGCAAAAATCAAAGCACAGTTGTCCATTAACTCACAAGTTAATTATGGGTTTATGAATCTGTAATGTTATATGCTGCATATATTTACTATGTAAACGTGAAGTAGCCAATATCTCTATAGCAATGACAGTATCTCCAGTAACCTTTGGAATGATTAGGCCTTGAAGGCACACTGGTCATTGTGGTCTTGAAGGCCTCTGTTCCAAAATCTGTTTCAGGGAATGCTCTGTCCAGTGATTTCTTCACCATTTGATATAAAATGAATTTAGAACTTTTGACCTGCTGTAGCTTATCCATCAGAGGGAAAACGTGGCTGTGGCATCTGTAGTAAAGCTGACTTGATTCCTCTACAAGAGGCTGTTTCCCATTGCTAACGTTGGCATTTCTGGTGTGGGAAGAAACGTCTAAGGAGAGTGCATGGCATCTATGTGTTGCGCCATTTATCAGACAGCCACATTAAAAGAATTGTGTTTGTCCAAAAAGGGATGAAACAGAATGATTTTCTGTAGCCACAACTGTGAGGTATGATGACTGTTGTATTATTACTGATTTTTCTTTTCCCAAATCATTTGAGCATCACATCTGGGGAAGCTACAACTTTAAGGGAGTCAATGTCATGTCTTTCTCAAAGGTGGAAGCAGAAACTAAATTACCCTAATTCTGCCAAGTATTGGGTTTATGGTTTATAAAGGAAATAATCCCATTTCACCATTGTGACTTTTGTCCTTAAGGAAGCAGGGATGACTCCAAGTTCTGATAACCTCAGTGTGCTTCTCTAATTTAAAGCCATGTTGAGGGGCTCCATCCCCAAATCCTGGGTCAAGTCGAATTAACCCGAAGTTGGAGCACTGGAAACTGTTATTTGCAAAGATTTTTGTTACCATTTAGAAATATGTACACTACCTAACCTTTCTTTTGAGGAAAACTATCCACCTATAAAAAAAATTGCCTTGACAAAAACAGTTCCGGTGTGACTATAATCATTTTGTTTCTTTAATTAGTGTTATGCAAGGTGGACCCTTGATGAGCCAACATTGCACTGTGGATACATATCTATGTTTACGCGCTATTAGAACAGAAGGCGCTGTGTATAGAAATGTTGCTTTGAAGCAATATTTGCAAAACATGCAAACTTCTGTATCTGTATTTGGAAAAAATAAAACAGGTTTTTGTTGCAGTGTTTCAACCATGTTGTTATAAAGTTCTGTGCCCTATTTTTAACATGCATTACATAATTTTCTATGAACTTATCTTTTAGAGGAAGATTTTTACATTGTCAACAGATTTATCTTCTTCAGGGACGCAGATGCAAGCTCAAGATCCTAAATCCCAAGAAAGTATGCAAAATAATTTTGAACTCATTAGTATTCAAAAGTAAAATGCCCCACACCGTCCTCTAAACCAGTTTAGCTCATGCTTTGTGCTGTGAGCTGCAGGCTTATTAGATTTCAATTGTTGAGAGCAGTGAGGTGAAGATAGGTCTGGCCTTCATATTAAGAGATGGCACCCTTTGCAATTAGGACCCTTTAGAGACCAATCCAAACTGCCTATGGACCCCAACTAGTTCCTTCCTGGGTGGGCAAAAGAATTAAGGAAAAGTAGACTTTAAAATTTAATAGCAGAGATACCCTATTACTTGCCAGATTCCTTCTCTTTCTAAACAATTAAGAGTAGCTCTAGCATGGGATCCCTGGGTGGCGCAGCGGTTTGGCGCCTGCCTTTGGCCCAGGGCGCGATCCTGGAGACCCGGGATCGAATCCCACATCGGGCTCCCGGTGCATGGAGCCTGCTTCACCCTCTGCCTGTGTCTCTGCCCCCTCTCTCTCTCTCTCTATCATAAATAAAAAAATAAAAGAGTAGCTCTAGCAATGTAAAAATCCGTTAGTTCACACTGGATCTACTTAAATCCTAGGGGCCTAAAATATGACAAGAAAGGTGAGTTTGGGGTTTAAACCGGAGCTCAGAAAGAGCTATCTGTAAGGGCCTGCACTAAAAGACTTCCTAAAATAGCCATATGGCATGGGTCTTTTGGGAAGCCTGTGCCCAAAGGCAGGCCCGTGTAACAAGTTATTGGCCCAACCTGTATAGAGGTAGCCAGTTAAGCACTTTAAGTGGAGTCCGCTTTCTCCCTGCCACAACCATATCCACTATCTTTTACGGAGGGGGGGCAAATTCACATTCTAGTGAAAGGTAGGGGCAAAAAAAAGGTAGGAACCCAGCCTGCTAAAGTCCTTTACGTAGACTCCCAACTAAACAAAGGAATCCCAAGTGGGTCCTGTGGGAGGGAGCAGGAGAAAATTTTCCAGACGTGGAGGCCCAGGCCTAGCCAACACGTAAATGATCCCACAAAAGCCAACAAATGCCAAGTGAACAGGAAACAAAGGCTTTATTCTCATGGGTCCCAACGCGGGTTTTGCCACCAGCCAAAAAGGAGATTTGAAGGGAATAGGCTCGGGAAAATACACCTAGTAAGGGACGAACGAAAAGGGGCACGTCAGACGCTGGAGCTGCCAAAAACTCATTTTTCTTCAACGCCGAACGGTGAGCCTGGCTCAGGCCCCTGGACCCGATCGTGGCCCCAGCTCAGAGAACGCCGGGGCCCCGCCGCCCGCAGCTGCGCAGCTCAGCCCGTGATGCGCACATCGGGGCGGCGGCGAAGCCGCCGGGCCCGCGCCGCCTCAGGCAGGATGGCCAGCAGCTGCTCCTGCACCAGCATCTCCACGATCTGCTCCTTCGTGCGGATGTCGGGTCGCAGCCACTGGCGGGAGAGCTCCCGCAGCTGCCGGAACGCCTCCCGCGGACCTGCGGCGTCCTGGTAGCGGAACTGCCGGAAACGCTGGCGGAATGTCTCCGGGCCGGGTCGGGAGCCGCCAGGGTGTGGGGGGGAGCGCGGAGCGGCTTCGGCATGCGGCGGGGAGCTCAGAGCTGGGGGCCCGACGGGCAGCTCCAAGGCCGCGGAGGCCGCCGCAGGGGGCGTACGAATTGCTTCGGTGGCTGCGGCGTTGGCACTGGAGGATTCGGGGGCAGGTGGTGCGGCCTTAAGGGTCGACGAGGAGCCCGCAGAATTACGCTCCGAGCCTGAACGCAGGCCGGCTCCTTCCTCCTTCTCTGGCGGTAGCGCGAGGCCCCCAGCAGCCGCCAAGCTCGGCTCCGTCGCCGCCATGACTCCAAGCTCTGGACGTCACTCTTTGTCCCGCAGCTGTGGGCTCAGCACTGCGTCTGCGCACGGGCCGGCTGAGGAGGGAGGCGTTAAGCGCGTTAGGGCAGAGCCCGCGGGGCCTCCCGGGCGGCAGACGGGGGCGGGCCGACAGCCGACCAAGCTCACCTGCACCGGGACGAGGCCTGAGCGCGCCGGAAGCGGAAGTCTCCTTTAGCTTCTATGATGAGCTCGGCGCCAGAGCGCCCGGAAGCCGAGTCCCCGCTCCCGGTAGCGGCGCCCCCTCGCGTTAGCGAGCCGCGTCAGGGGGCGGCTGTGGCCGAGGGGCGGGGGCGGGCCTATCTAAGCGAGCCCTGGGCTCCTCTTCAGTATGCCCCCTTCCAGGACCGGTTCGAGGAATCGGAGTCCGAGTCCGAGGAGGGTGAGGAAGAAGAGAGGAAGAGGAGAGGAAGAAGAGCTGGAGGAGAAGGAGCGCCGAGGGGTCTTCGCCCACTTTGACCGCTCCGGGCCGCAGGTGATCTGCCCGTCCCGCGGCGTGCGCGCCTCCTTCCTGGCCCCTGACTGGGACGGTGGCGAGCCACGGCTTCGCTGGGGCGGGACGGCGGGACCGAGGTCGGGCTCTGAGGGAGGCCCCGACCCGGGGAAGTCCTCTTTCTGTCAAAGGAGATAAGCAGGGGCACTCGCCTCGTTTCGAGAATGACAAAATCTAACGTGTGAAGGGCCTCAACGGACACAGTAAGACTCGCCTCTCCCAGGGCACAAAGTATATGCTCAACAGCTGTGTGCCATTGTTATTTGGGCCGTGTCCTTTGAAACCAAGGGACAGGTGCCTCTTTGGGTTCTGCTTTTAACGTTAAAATTAGACTCTAAATGCCCGGTCCCGTATGGTGGCCGCTAGCTCCGTGGGCTTACTGAGCCCTTTGAAATGTGGCTAGTCGGACCTGGGATGTGCTGTAACGTAAAATGTACCCACCCAGGCTTTGGTACAACCAGTAATAGATCTCAATGTCTTTTATATTGATTACATGTTAGGTTGGTGATATTTTGCATGTGTCGGGTCAAATAAAGTCTATTATTAAAATTAACCTGTGTCATTTTACTTTTCAAGTGTGGCTACTAGAAAAATTTATATGTATGGTTTGCATTATATTCCTTTTTTTTTTAATTTTCTTTTTTATTTATTTATGATAGTCACACAGGGAGAGAGAGAGAGAGAGAGAGAGGCAGAGGGAGAGGCAGGCTCCATGCACCGGGAGCCCGATGTGGGATTCGATCCCGGGTCTCCAGGATTGCGCCCTGGGCCAAAGGCAGGCGCCAAACCGCTGCGCCACCCAGGGTTCCCTGTTTGCATTATATTCCTGTTAAGCAACACCGTGCTACCGCTTTGGAGTCAGGCTGCCCTGGTGGACTCCCCATTTCAGGGTTTATTTGCCTTAGGCCAGACTTGTTGAGAGGATTAAAGCAGTAAAGCCCTTTGAAGGAAAGGGTTTTTTAAATATGTTTGCTGTTGTCTTCATTAGATAAATTGCTATCTCTGAGTGGCAGGTTTTTGTTTTTTTTTTTTTTTTTTTTAGAGCTGTAAAATGTGGAGATAATACAATTTACCTCAGAAGTTAGGAGAGTTCAGCGAGATGATACAGATAAAACCTTGTACCTCTTGACAGCTGACTCACAATTATGTCTTATACTGCCATTTGGTAGGTAGGGAAGCTAAGACCCAAAGAGAGAGAGAGACAGGGGAAATGAAAGGTTTTGAAAATGAAAGGTTTTGTCTGAGCTTTGTGCAGAAGGAGTGGGTCTGTTTAACAACTTGCAATACGCCAGCAGCCCTGATATAAAACTTGCCTTCTTAATAGGATGTGCTCTCTTGGATAGGTAGAAATGGATTCTCACAGAACATTTTTCATAGCCTGAAAACCCTGAAAGTCATTGCAGTGGGTCTTGAATATTTTTTAGTTATTGGCACTTAAAATTGGGAGATTTCACATGTGCAAATCTGGATTTCCAGCTTCTCTTGAAAAAGTAGATGAGCTGACCACATTGGATGGACCCACCCACATTCCTGCCAATCAACAATTAGCTGGAACTGAGTAGAGTCTCCTTCTTTTGGACAAGATGCTCTGTTTCAAATGGCCTCAATCCCCACCACTCCCTTTTGTCTCTTTAACAGAATGCTATTTACATTTTCTGTTCCTCTCAGATTGTTTTCCTTAGATCTGATATTTTTCTTTATTTCCAGAGATGGGAAAACAGGAGTCTAGAGTTTGTTATACTACTAGCTTCAAACCTGTACTTCCTTTGCCTCGCCTCTTGGCATTTTGATTCACTGCCCTGAGTGAGTGAACCAACAGTCCTATTCCCTGGATGGTGACAGGCAGTAAGATATCTGGGCTTAGGGGAGCACATCAAACCTTGCTGCAAGGATGAAGGGTCATGGAAGATTTTTACTGGGGGCGGGGAGGAGAACTTTAAGCTGAGACTCAAGAAGAAAAAGGGAGATTTAGGGCATTCCAGGTAGAAGGCATTGCCTGTGCCAAAGCACAGAGTGAATGGGAGCAAAACTGTGGAAACTGCAGGCTACACCTGGGGGAGTGGCCAGAGTATGGGAAAGGGATGAAAGCTGAGTTCGGAAGGTAAATTGGAAGTTAAATCATAGACTGTCTAGAATCCCATGTTGAAAAATTGAACCCTTGTTCTTTTGGGAAAGGGAATGAACTCTTGCAGTCCATGGAATCTCAGAATGTTAGATCTCTAGTCCCATTTCTTGCATCCCTATTAGAATCATGGAATATTAGAAATAGATCTTGGAGGTCTATTAGAATTATGGAATGTTAGAATGGAAGGAACCATACATATTAAATCTAAAAGTTAAATGCAGTTATTCTAAACTGTATGGGTGAGCAAATGCCCAGAATCTGAAAACAATACCTCATCTGGAATTATTATTTTTTTTCTCATCTGGAATTATTCTACATATTTATGCGTATAATTTTAGGTGATTTCCAGATATCCTTGAACCTACTCACAGGACCCAGGTTTAGTTTAAAATACATTTATTTATATGTATTCCATTCTCCCAAATTTTGCAGGTTAAGAAGTCAGCGCACCAAGAGGAAATGGATTGGTCCAAACTAAAAAACCTAGTAAGTGGTTCCACAAGGACAGAATTCTTCGGACTTGTAATAGTCCGATGTTCTTATCATATTAGGTCTTTTCATTAGCAACTAGGTTGGGAGCTCACTTGAGAAGGTATCATAAATCATGCATCTATCACTTAGCTTCCAACATAAGGCCTGATTCCCAGTTGGACTCTCAGTAAATATTGAATCAAGGAAAAGTGATAAGTAGAGGTTTCATCTCTGAAGGGGAGCTCTAATGTGATTCCCATACTCTTTCAGAGAGACTTCGGTGTCTTTTGATGGCATACTGTTGGGGGTTGTGGTATAGAAGCCTGGATATTTTTTAAAGCCTTTTTATTTGGAAATAGTTATGGCTTCATAGAAAGTTACAAAAATTATACAGAGAGGTCTCATGCATACTTCACCCAGTTTTCCGCAGTGGTGACATCTTATGCAACCACAGTATAATGTCAACACTGGGAAGTTGACAATGATACAATCCACAGAGTTTGTTCACATTATACCAGTTTTATAAGCACTTATTTATGTATGTGTATAGGCCTATGCAATTTTATCACATGTGTAGATTCATGCAACTGTACCACAATCAATATCTAGAAATGTTTGATGACCACTATGATCCTGTAACTGAACTAAAGTGATTTTGATCCTTCGTGAATCACAGATAGAAACTACACCACATAGAATGCTCTCACGGGTAAACTGCATTTGCAGCAATTTGAACTGAAACTGATCTGAGGGGTCTAGGCCAGCTACTGCTCTTTATCCAGGCAGTTTCCATCACAGGATGCTATGACCATTGGGTCTTTTGCCTGAATTAAAGAGATAAGCTGGAAAGAAGAGCTTAAGGAAAAATGTTGGACAAAAGTTGGTGAGTACAAGCAGGTAGGCAGTAAAGGTCAGGTCTGGGGGTCTAGTTCTCATTGTCTCTCATGCTACCATTTTATAATTACACCTACCCCTCTCCCCTACCCCCCATCTCTAGCCACAGGCAACCACTAATCTGTTCTTCATCTCTATAATGTTGTCATTTCAAAAATGTTATATAAATGGAATTGTACAGTGTGTAACCATTTGGGACTGGCTTTCTTCACGCAGCGTAATTCCCTGGAGATTCATCTAGGTTGTTTCATATTCTAATAAAACGTTCATTTTTATTGCTGAGTAATAATCCATGGTGTGGCTATACCATGGTTTGCTTAGCCAGTCACTGGTTGAAGGACGTTTGAGTTATTTCCAATTTGGGGCTATTCCAAAATGAAGCTGCTATGAATTCTTTTATCATATGGCCTTGGATAAGTCAGACTCTTTCTGAGCCTGGGGGTAGTAACTATGACACAGAATGGTTCTGAAGAGTCAAAGAGGAAATATATGTAAAGGAACTGGTACCAGGTCTGGTATTATTTAGATGTTCTTTAATTTCTTCCATCAATGTTTTATCATTTTCAGTATACAGAATCTGCACATATTATATTTATACCTAAGTGCTTCATGTTTTTAGTGCTACTATAAATGGTATTATTTAAAATTTTTCAGTTTCTAGTTGTTCAATAGTATATAAAAATAAAATTGATTTTTGTCTAATGACTTGTATCCTGTGACTTCATTAAACCAGGAAATTCACCCACATTTGGGCTGGTTTTTTTGTTTTTACTACCCACCCCCAAAACCCAGAACACTTGCATTTATTTATTTATTTATTTATTTATTTATTTATTTATTTATTTATTTATTTTTTAAGATTTTATTTATTTTTCATGAGAGACACAGAGAGAGAGAGAGAGGCAAAGACACAGGCAGAGGCAGAAGCAGGCTCCATGCAGGGAGCCTGATGTGGGACCTGATCCCGGGACTCCAGGATCATGCCCAGCGCCGAAGGCAGGCGCTAAACCGCTGAGCCACCCAGGGATTTCCCGCCATTATTTATTTGTAAGAGTCTCAAACTGTGTTTTGTCCAAAGCTTTTAGTTATAATGGATGGGAGAGAGAGGCTGTAATGGGGTTACTGCCTCTTGGTTGCCACTGGAATACATTATTTATTCTAATGCCCAAATTACCCTATATTGGACCAGTGGGAACCCCTTTT